TTTAGAGCAACAAACAGTGGTTAAAGCATGTCTACGAGACTCATTCGTAGGTGAAGTTCGAGGATAAAGGCCCCAGGTGTGTAGACGGAGGGGGGTTGGTAAACCCTAAGCAAGTCATTGGACACTTGACTTCCCCGAGTGGCACATGGTTGGATGCCATCGACGCCGAGACGTGAAGAAACCGACATCAAATACCACTGAAGACCAAACAACCTATAGTCATGCCTGGTCATAAAATGACATGCAGCACGATCAAAAAAATGTCTAATAGATAGTGATTGGATCAAGATATGCCACAATGATTTGAGGTGAAGAATGAGTGAGAGCCGTCGCAACGGCAGCAGCTGTTGCCGCTAGTGCAATCAATCCAAACCAATGTGAGAGCCATATAATTCGAATAAGTCGACATCCCTGCATCCCAGAAATAGGCAGAGTGTCCGAGTGGTCCAAGGAGTTGGATTAGAAATCTAATGGGTTCGCCCGCGCAGGTTCGAGTCCTGTCTCTGTCGTCAGGTTCTTACTATTGTTCTGTTTTTTTTCTTCAATAAATTAGGTGGTGACAAGTTTCTTTTTTATTTTTCTGGTCCCTGCTTGGCAAGTGTTCTGTGGCAAGTGGGCAGTATCCACTTTGTTCATCGTGGTTGTGGCTTTGCGGCGTGATGTTGCAGGACGGCTACACCTACCTGTAAAGTCCCAGGGAATTCTCTTTACTCAATCTTCCACCTCCACCCCAAACAAAGTTTGACCCCGTCCACTCCGTAAATAATGTCCAATTGGTGCCTTCTTGCCGATCTGGTACGGACGCCTCGTGCCAAGAAATTAAGCTCATGACGTAACGCGAAATACTGTGGGCATTTGTGATGCAACCTGCTCGGGCGTAAACTCTGCCAACGTCCAACTGCAACGGCCTGCTACAATTGTCAGTTTTGATACCCATGGTCTCACCGCAGTCGCGCCGTCAAGGCTTTACTCCGCAGGGCCACCGCCGTCATGCCTCTGGCCACGGACGAACATGATGATGTCCGCCGGTACCAGGCACCATACAGCGCTCGCAGACCTGTGCCTACAATCTCCAGGTACCGCGAAGAGAAGGCTGCCAGGCAACAAGAGTCAATGCGAAGTGACTCGGATGAGGAAATCGCCGCAGAGCCCCCCGTCGTCACGGCTGCCGATGAGGCGAAGCATGAACCTTCGCCCTGCCCCTCTCGCGAGGACGACGCCAAACGTGACGACACTCACGCCGACACCCCCGAAGATACCTCCCAGGTTGACCCGGCCTCAACCGATGTAAAACAAAGGAGAAAAGAGTTGAAGCTCAGGCGGAAGGAAAGGGCCGAGCGGGAGGTGACGGATCCCGTCACTCACCTCCCCGTCACTATCCACGACTTTACAGACGAGGCACTCAAGGAAACAGTCCTGGATCATGCCGCTTTCAAATCCGAAAAGCGATCTGCTACGGGCTTGAGTTTGAAACGCGATTCGACTGAGCAGTCGCAAAGTCAGGCTCGACAGGCTCGACACCTCCAACATGTTCACGAGAGACTCAACAGCAGATTTCCGCCTCCCGATTTTGATTTATTGAATCAAAACATTACCGCAATCAACAATCGAGGGCTGACGTTTGGCCTTGCGGGGCTTGCGGTTGTCGTTCTGTCTGCCTCCTTTCTTGGAGCATTTTCCCATGGACGAAAACAAATAGCGCCCGGTTCCGAAGCTGATAGTGACAGCAACAAGTGGTGGATGCTCTCTATCCTACTCGTAGCCGGTGCTGCCGCCGCAGTGATTGCTGGAGTACGAGACTACACCACTCGCAAAATCAACAACATCTTCCAAGATGAGGTTTGGGATGCTCACCGCCAGCAGCTCGCCAAAGACACTAGCAAGCACGAGACTGAGACAACTATATGGCTCAATTCCGTGTTGGGAGCTGTTTGGCCGCTGGTAAATCCAGATCTTTTTCTCAGTCTGTCGGATACTCTCGAAGATGTCATGCAAGCTTCCCTCCCTAAGTTGGTTCGGATGGTGAGCGTTGAGGATATTGGCCAGGGAAGTGAATCTATTCGGATACTGGGCATTCAATGGCTGCCAACGGGGGCCGCTAGCAGGTCTGTAACTACGAGTGGCAAGCTCACGTCGCCCGACGATTCTGAGGGGAATACCGGCGGCCAAACACCGGCGTGTAAGAAGCCTGGCGAAATTGGCGACCCCGAGACCTTGTCAAAGGCTGAAGCTGTCGCCGAGGGGATGGAAGGTGAAGAAGGCGATTTCGTCAATTTGGAAGTGGCGTTTGCGTATCGAACTCGGTCCAGCTCGCGAAGCCTCAAGGACAGAGCCAAGGACATGCATCTCTACGTGGCATTCTATTTACCTGGAAACATCAAGATACCCGTCTGGGTAGATTTGCTTGGTATTATCGGAACAATGAGGATGCGTCTACAGCTGTGTCCGGATCCGCCATTCTTTTCGCTTTGTACAGTTACTTTCATGGGACAGCCGAAAGTCGACGTGCGGTGTGTTCCATTGAGCCGTCGTGGTCTCAATATCATGGATATTCCACTCATTAGCAACTTTGTTCAGAGTGCCATTGATGCCGCTGTGGCCGAGTATGTCGCGCCAAAGAGCCTGACCGTGGACTTGAAGGATATCCTGGCGGGTGATGATTTCAAGAAGGATACAGTCTCGAGAGGAGTTTTAATGATACACATCAAACGCGGATATGATTTCAAAATGGGAGACTCGGCAATACCTCTTATCCGAGAGGCGAGTTCCGATCCTTATGTGTCGGTTGGGTGGGCCAAGTTCGGCAAGGTTCTCTGGAGTACGCGCATTTTGAAATGTGAAATGGAACCTTGCTGGGACGAAACGTGCTTTGTCCTTGTCACCCCGGAGGAGGTGAACATTGACGAGAGACTCCGCGTCCAACTATGGGATTCGGACAGGTTTACGGCGGACGATGATCTGGGACGCATTGAAGTTAGCTTGAAGGAGCTCATGAAAAGTCCTGAATCGAGGGGAAAGATTTGGCATCGAACCGACGGATTCCGTGCTCTCAAGGCCGGTGATAACATGCCCGGAAAGCTGGAGTGGAGCGTGGGCTACTTCCCCAAGGCCCGAATTCAGCAAGGCCAGTTTGACAAGCAAACCCATGATCCTAAAATTCGATCGATGGAACAGCTCAAAGACAAGGTAGACGAGACTTGCGAGCGAAAACTTCGCGAATTTATGATCAAAGAAGGCCTCAAAGTGCGTGACGAGGAAGAATTAGAACAGCAAATTATTCAGGAGATGAAGGCACAAACGGATGCCATGATATGCTCGGCGCCTCCACCAGACGACTATCCCAGCGGTTTATTCAGCATTCAAATCCACAACATTACTGGTCTTGAAGTCGAAAGACTAAACAAGCGTCAGCCTGAAGATTATGATGAGGCGAGCGATGAAGAAGAAGAGGGTGATGGACTGCCCAGCTCTTACTGTACCGTCATCATCAACCACAGCAAGACATTCAAGACGCGAACAAAACCACAAAATGCAAAGCCCTTCTTCAATGCTGGATGCGAGCGTTTCGTCAGAGACTGGAGAGATTGCGAGGTATTTGTCTCCGTCCGGGATGCGAGACTTCACGAAGACAATCCCCTTCTAGGGATTGTTCATCTCCCCCTTGCGGAGCTCTTCAAGGACCGCTCCCAAATCATGGGATGGTACCCCTTAAGTGGCGGTGTCGGCCGTGGTCGCATCAGACTATCCATGGTCTGGCGCAGCGTCCGACTCCAAGCTCCCTCTAACCTCTTAGGCTGGCAATACGGCACCGTTGATGTACATCCAATTGCCGTCAGCGAAAATTGCCAGCCCGAGCTGAAGTCGTGTAAACTCAAACTCAAGACAGACATCAGCATGGGCAAAATGCGACCTACAGGAAGCAGCGGCAAGTGGACGTCCAAAAAGGAACAGCACCTCCATTTGGGCGTCAAGAAGCGCTACAGCAGCTGCATGGCCGTTGAGTTTCGAGACAAGCGCTTTCTGGGGGACAAAGTCTCTGCATTCTGCGTCCTCTGGCTCAAGGATATCCCCGATGAACAGGAACAAGATCTCGAGCTTCCCATCTGGAAGGGTGATTATGAGCGCGCAACGACGAATTGTTTAGAAGACTGCGGTGAAAAAATGGGCACTCTGAAAGTTAGACTGACTTTCTTGCCCGGAATGGTAAAAAACCCTCTTTTTGCTGCCTCTCACGCGAATAATGCCACTAACATCTTTTTTTTTCTTCCCTGCAAAGGGTACTGCTCATTCCCGCTGGGCAAGTCGAAATCAACATACCCGCGACGTGGTCGAGGTGATTGACACGGCCCGCGACAATCTAGACCTGGACAAGATTGAAAGAGAAGCAGGTATAGTGGATGAGGAAGCTTCCAGCGACAGTGACAGTTCGTCGGATGGAGTAAAGGAGGAATTGCCGGATGGGAGTGCACAGCATAAGCAGGGCTTGATGGACCAGTTGAGGGATTACAAGCGGCGGGACAAGGCGCTGCATAGGCAGCATCGAGGCTTGATGCAGTTGAAGGTGAGACATGAGGCCCTCTACTCCCAGGTTGTGAACTCTTTAGTCGTAGCAATGCTAATAAGCGTAGGTCCCGAGGACGGCGAGATGGATGAAGCACAAGATAGGAAAGGTGGAAGAGAGCGTGTCGGGGCTCTTTGACCATCATAGCAAGCAGCCGGGTATTGAGACGGAGGTATAAAAACGGCTGGGTGCACACAGAATACAAGGGACAGGTATTTGTATAAAAGGACCAGGGAATAGAGTGTATTGTGGGAAAAGTGTCAAAGACCGCTACAACTAGACGTTATATCAGTATAAGCAGAGACTTGTGGAATGACAGGGACCATCGACACCAAACACCAATAACCGCCATGTTGCAATGCCGACCCCGATTTCGACAATACTTTCAATTGCGATTTACGATACTTTTTTCCATCAAAAGAAAAAAAAAAACTGACGCTTAGCTTTCCCAAGTGGAGTCATGCCCAAAGTCCGTCCCCTTCCCTTTGCGATTCTTGGAAATGATGTCAACAGCTTCAGGCTCCCGCGGAGCGATACCGTCCTCTTCGCCAGCATCGTCGCGATACCGATCCTGTTCCATAGCAGGGATGGCGGTGTACCCGTCTCTACGGCCCTGGAGGTACTTGAGCCACGGGAAATCGGGAAATGATGTGCGCAGGCGAACATTGCAGTTGGGGCAGTTTGGCGGCACAGCACGCCAAGCGACCCATTGGACGAGGCTGTGAATGGCCAGCCCATGATAGACGGCTTGGAGGGCAAGAAACAGGTGGATGAGGCTTCCATGTCTAGAGTTAGCACGCTGGGGTAGAGCAACTGCTTATGCTCAATGACTTACAAGTTTGCCAGCAGCGGGATTGTAGCATACGCAGCCAACATGCTGAGCCCTGAGGGTCCTTCCGTCGTAATCCAAGTAAAGACCAAGACAATCATATAGCCAGACGCTAGGGCTACGTCGTAGCAGAACACGGTTACCGGGTGGACAATGATATCCCGAAGGGTATTCTCACGTGGCGGCTGGTCGGTCCCTTCCACGCCGTGCTCGCCATCATCTCTCTTGCGATGGAAGCCTAATACAACAGCAGCCGCTACAATAGAAAAGAACTGGGGCAGGAGACCCAAAGCCGGAACGGGATGGTGCTTAAGAATGCCATGGACGAGACACAGAGGAAATGCCGGGATGAAGAGAAGTGCGGCGAGAATGCGCAGAGAGCTAGTGGCTGAGCATGTTGTAGATGCCATGGTGCCTGTCGCCTTGGCTACTGTGTTTTTGGTGAGGTTCAAAGTGATGAAGCAGGCGCTTGAGGCATGAGAAGACGGTGCTGGATGGCGACTTGATTTCATATGACGAGATGTGATGAGGGGCAGGTGCTTGAACTCCTTCTTTAACGCGTCGTCGTTATTGGAGATGAAGCGCTCTCCAGGCAGAAAGAATGATTATGACACGCCCCTTGCGAGGCGACCACCATGGCGGTAGATAACTACCTACCTAGGTAGTTATTGTGAGTTAGAGAGTACGTATGCTGATGCTGGTCGGGCCAATAGACGAGCTGGTAGCCCCCATGCGAGCGGTGCTCTGCGACACGGTTGAAGGTGGTGGTGGTGGTTCGGGGGAATATGCCAACGGTTGGAGACGGGACGCGTATGCAATGTGCAATGTGCGGGTTGTGTCTTTAAGTCGGTTACGAAAAGTTACGAGATGGACGCAGGAGGAAGGAATTTTGCAATGGAAGGAGCTAGGTAGAAGCTGTATGGCCCGGGATACGCGTAGCGGGCAAGCAGCCAACACGCTGGCGGCATGGAGTGGTGATGCTCTCTCAACAGGCGCTGTGGGATGTGACAAACATGCCACATTCGTTCACGAACACCGGCATGAGGTCAATATTCTCGGCCGATGGACCCAAGCTTGCGTTGTTCGCGGAGTGATGGCACTAATGGGCTGGCTGGCCTTTTTCGAATGCTTCCTGAATCTACAAAGTGGCAAAACCCTGGAGAAGATGTTGTTAGAATGGGTCACTTGTTACGGGTACAAATTACGTACGCTTAATTAAATAAGAGTAAACCCTTAACTATAAGTAAATAACTCTAATAATAAGTATACTTATAAAAAGAGCGTATATAATTCTCTCTTTTATAATTAAATATAAACTTATATATATATATTATTATTATAATTAATACTCTTTAAAGTATAATAATTATAAGCTTAAGAGAACTTTAAATTTCTTATAACTTTTACTTAAGAAAATTAAGTATTTAAGGTATTATTTTAATACTTATTTTATTATATTTACGTATTTAATAAATATTAATATTACTTTTATAAACACTTAATTAT